ACCCAGAGAACATTTGGGCAATCAAGCAGATGCCAGCTCCAAAAGATGTGTCTACGCTCCGCTCCTTCTTGGGAATGATTAGCTACTATTCAGCTTTCTTGCCATCATTACACAACATCCGCGAACCACTCAACCGCCTGTTACGAAAGGACCATCCCTAGGTCTGGTCCACAGAGTGTGATGAAGCTGTAAAAAAGTTGAAGTCTCCTCAGCTCAGAATTGCTACTAACACACTACGATCCGAAACTCCCCATCTTAGTCGCAGCTGATGCCTCAGTTACTGGAGTTGGTGCAGTTCTACTGCATGAGTTTCCGGACGGAACACAGAAGGCTGTTTTCCATATCTCCCGCTCTCTCTCCGTAGCCGAAAAGAGATATGCACAGATAGAGAAAGAGGCTCTGGCATTAATTTACGCAGTTCAAAGATTCCATAAAATGTTATACGGGAGGAGATTCACCTTACTAACAGACCATAAACCCCTGCTGTCAATATTTGGGTCAAAGAAGGGTATCCCAGTCCATTCAGCGAACAGACTGCAAAGATGGGCAGTGATTTTACTGGGATATGACTTTAGCATCCGATATCGTCGAACGGAGGATTTCGGCCACGCAGATGCACTATCACGTCTGATAAGCAACTATCCCTCATCTAACGAAGATTCAGTTATAGCGGTTTTGAAGACGGAAAACGATGTTAATAAATTGTTAACACTGGCCATCCAGCAGCTTCCCATTACATCAGAACAAATAAAACAGGCAACTAGAGAAGATTCAACTCTAAAGGAAGCCATACAGTTCGTAAAGACTTCTTGGCCTAAATCGGTCTCAAGTCATGATCTTGAGCAATTATTCCGCCGCCGTCACGGTCTCAGCATTGTTAATGGGTGCCTGATGTTTGGGGAACGTGTAGTCGTACCAAACTCTTAACGTATGACAGCTCTAAAGCAGTTTCACAGTGGGCATCCGGGTATTGCTCGCATGAAGTCGATAGCCAGAAGTTATGTATACTGGCCATGTATGGATGCGGACATAAAAGATTTTGTTAACCGCTGTCATGGGTGTCAAGTTGCAGCCAAAGACCCGCCGCGGGAGCCACCGAGAGCATGGCCCACGTCAAAACCATGGTCCCGCCTACATGTGGATTTTTCTGGTCCGATAGAAGGTATATACTACTTGGTTCTCGTGGACTCTTACTCAAAATGACCGGAGGTAGTACAGGTGACACCACCTTCTAGCAGCAGAACAGTATCAGTCCTGGAAAAGATCTTCGCATGTCACGGTATACCAGAAATCATCGTATCTGACAATGGCAGTCAGTTCACTTCACAAGTCTTCCAGGAATTTTGCAAGAGAAACGGTATACAACACGTGCGGACGCCACCTTATCACCCTCAATCCAACGGTCAGGCAGAAAGATTTGTCGACACCTTCAAACGAGCGTTGTTGAAAGCAGGGGGAGGGGCGAAACCGGAAGCAATACAAAACTTTCTTTTTGTATACCGAACTACACCACTGGCAGAACAGAAGAAAAGCCCTGCAGAACTTCTAATGGGTCGAATGCTACGAACTCATCACCACTCCATGTTACCATCTCCGTCACATCAACGAAGAAATAGTCTGAAGTATTACCGCAAGGGTGATGCCGTCTATGTGCGCGATTATCGACCGAGGAACAGAAAATGGGCCGAAGGCTTGATAGAATGTCGACATGGAACTCTAATGTACAAGGTTAAAGTTGGGGATGAATGGTGGATAAGACATAAAAATCAGATACGACGTCGATATACTACATCCCAAGAACCTAAATTGCCACTGGATTTACTACTGGAAACTTTCAAAATACCACCAGTCAAACCAGAAGCAAAACAAGAGATGCTACCCAGCCGACGATCCCAGCGCAAACGAACACAAACAGTTCATTTCCGAATCGACCCCAAGGAAGAAAGATACTAAACTGTTTGCAAGATTCTTTTTAAAAGGGGGAGGTAATATATACACAGGTGAATCATTAATATTCGTTATTTATTTCCCACACTAGCATAATCATTGATTTCCCGCATCTGCGTGATTATTGATTTTAATTACTGAATTCCCATGGTTTGTTAATATTTTTAAAATGTGACATTGATTTTCCTAACTGTATAAATACGGAGTTTTTGTTTAACATTTTCGACTGCTGTTAGAGACAGTAAAAGCTCTCGTATCAACGTCCAGTCTTCTTTCTTTGCCTTGCGTGCCCGGCGGTATTGTTGTTGTTGTTGTTGACGTGCCATTAGGACAGATTAGCCAGCGCATTTATTTAGATTCGCTCATAGTCTACAAGGTCCTAATATCGCATACATAACAATAACTCATTCTGGTATTTCAAACAAGTAGCAGGTGCTACTAGTTTGCTCACATCAACGTTTAGACGACGCCTTTTCTGAACCCCACCAAATCGCAAGACGAACTTGGCACACACTAACGCATGATCGGAGTCCAGGCATGTGCTCCAGAAGGAGCGACAGTCTTGTATGCATCCTCGCCACCGGAAACTGACAGCAATGTGATCGATCTGAGTCCAAGCTTGGTTCGCAGAGGGAGGACGCCAGGTAGCGCTACGGCGATGGTTGTGCCGGAAGTTGGTGCTGGCCAGAAATAGGTTGTGATCCGCGCAAAGCTGCAGAAGACGGTCCCCATTATCTGACCTGCGACCATGTAGTCCCCATTGACCACCTAGACGATTCTCCTCTGAGCTCAGACGCCCGACCTGTGCATTCAAGTCCCCCGCCAGCACTACGATATCCCTCCGACCCGCCTGTGTCAAGAGATAGTTAAGTTGGTGGTAGAACTCGTCCTTCATTGCATCCGGGCTGCAATCCGTTGGTGCATAGGCAGAGACAACAAATAGACACCGCCTATCTGGCTTACTACTCCTTACTTTCGTATAACCTTCCAGCCTCACAGCACATAAACGACTGTTAATGGGAATCCAGTCGAGCAGTGCAGCTTCAGCTCTAGCGCTCAGTGCGACGCCGACAACAGCTACGCCGGATGCCGACGCCACAGGGTCCCCGGACAAGCGCAGGTGGTACATACTACTAGAACTTCCAGATGGAGAGGATAATCGAAGCACTTCACTGGGATCTTGAATGCGAGTCTCCGAAATGCAGCAGATATCGATAGCGAGGCTTTCCAACGTTCTTACCAACGCTGCCTGTTGTCCGATTTGCATCAGCGTCCGAACATTGTAGGTGGCCAGCTTGAACGCGGCACGCGGTTTCAGGATATCTGTGTTAGATGTCACATTGGGGACAGTCATTTTGAGGGTTACTCACTAACATCTCGAAACGACACAGATAGGCTAGGAATCCAAACAAAGGCGAAAGGCTGTCGAAGGTTAAGAAGTCAAGGTGAGCGAAGGTAAAATACAGGAAACTAAGTATAAAAATAAAATTTAGGTTGGAAGGGCATAAGTTGCTTGATGTATCATTGTTTCTTGGAATCATTTTTACGAGCACGCGGTGAGTTTCAATAATAGTTTGTCGCTTCATTTCATTTATTGTGATATGATATTTTTCAGCATTCATAAGGAGACACAATCATCTGTTACTGCTGTTTTCAGTCAGAGGTGGCGTGACAGAACACTGTCCAACTTCGCCACTGCACTTTAACTTTGGTACCGATAAAGTATGCATTAATTTGGATCACCAGCGACGTCGTCGGGATGCATGTCCAGTGGTCACAAATTCTAGTTTAGGATGCATTAATGCGTGCATAATCTAACAGAAATGTATCTTTTGCGTACTCTAAATTACCTAACTCTTACTATAGTTGGAAATCAATTCCTCATAGGTTGAAAATAAACAAAAGCATATTTACACCAAGTAGTTCATAGTAAATGGAGGCATTTGGTATCGCTGAAGACCACATATAGTTGTCACCATTCTAGATGACTATCACACGATTTCATATGTTCGAGTACAGTGTCTTGATTAGCATAATATCCCCTATAAGTACTCTTTTTTATAGACAAACATTTCCACAACACCTAATCATTGACCGGGTTGAATGTCACCTTCATATCAAGAAATATAGTGAGTGATGAGCGTTGGTAAATATATCTGTGTTCCAGAGCCTGTTGGATTGTGGAAATATAATTGATATACACTGAGGTTTGTATGGAACTTCACCGATCCTGTCGAATCTGTGTCTCGCGAAATATACTTGGTCTTCGCATGACAACGGAACAGGGGATTTCAAGTACTACAGTATTCAGGCTGATGCCTTTATAAACACAAAAAGACATTTCCTTTATCTTACACGCTGAGATTTCCAACAACCTCCACCTTAAAGGAAGTACTTTTGATACCCATACTCTGACTAGTACCTTAGTTAATCTAGACAATAACTTTTCTAAAACAGAAAGCTGACGCTTCCATAGGCGATAAAGAAACCACATAAGCAGTGATCGTTTGAGGTCTTCATTTTTCATGCGCAATACACTTTCCTTTAAAATAAAAGGGGTTAGGGGAAATCTGAATACATCACAGCAAACAATGCTACTCTCAAAATGTGCTGCTGCATAGAAATTCCAGCCATCAATTTAGGGGGCAGATTATGTCTCATGGAATACTGTGGCAGTTTGACTTATACCACAGATGCGGAACACAGAAGCATGACCATAGATGAGCGCAGATTTCAAATAAAATACTTTCAACTTGGTTTGAAAAGAATAAGGTAATGAAGATTTCTGTTCAGAAGGAGTCCCGAAATTGCGTGGAACACCTATTTCACCTCTCATACTTTCGAATCTACGGATTGAGTTCCTTCTTTACGGTATGAAACTAACGTGTATAGTAATTAACTGACTTTACTGTTACTATGATTTTTAAATCTTCATCCAGTTTTTATATCGGTTGATAATGAGTACCACTTTAAATCACCTGTCAAAAAAGATAATCAATAATCACTTCTTTCAAATAATTCAATACGAAAAGGTCAACAGCTAAGAAACTTACCTATTGGAAAATGATGAGCTTTAGCTACTTCACGATCATACGCCCCAAGGAATTCTAAACACAACAAAAACAGCCGTTGCTGAAGAAATGCTCTGCGAGTTTTACTTTCAGGAGTTTCAACAGCAGGTCTTTCGTCGAATTTCCATAAATCTATCAAGCATGGCTTAACATCATCGAATAAAACCAATCTATCAGGATCTTCATCTTCAATATCTTTTTGCTCTTGGATGTTTAATACATCAGAAGGTAACCAACCAACTGCTTCGCGTGCACGTTCCAGACCCACCCAAGCTTTACCCCGACGATATAAAATTGCACGACTTTTACCGACAGAACCATGTCCTGCTAGTGAAGGAATGTGTCCACGACGAACCCATTGATCAGCAGCAACTTCAGATGACAAAATGGACGGAACAACGTCTGGACCTGTGTTTTCATAAGATTCATCAGGAATTCCTTCTCCAGAACAATTGATCAATGCGTCTTCACAGGTGCTAGCTATGGCTAAATAGATTAGAAATTTGTTTCAGTATTTGTCCGAAATCATTACATAAACTGAAAACTGCAGCAACCAAATACACACTGCCACGAAGTAACAACTTTTTTTAGCAATATATTCAGATGCCATAATTTGTAGCAGGGTTGTTGGGAAGCCAAATCAAATTCCTCCTGAGTCAGTTTAGACATGTATAACAACAAGTCATGACTGTAGACAATAAGTACAGTATGCTCATGAACTGACTTCCATTCCAGGTTACTTATTACTTTCATGCAAAGCTAACTGTATGATAGTGTTAATTTACGATCGTTAAACGGAATTAGTCTAGCTAGACTAATGATTAAACATGAACCATAGGAAAGGAAGTGGATAGCTATTTCATCCTAGTTTGGAACTCGGCTGGGGTTCGAACTCAGGACCTTCTCGTTACAAGGCGAGCTCGTAGATTATTCAGCCACTAGAATCCTGTCCGATGGCTTATCAATTCCAACTTCTTACAACTTACGATGTATATAGCGCAACTGGGGTTCGATTCCAAGCCAGTCCACTCCTTTACCTTGCCTAGCCGGTAGTAATCCCGGTAAAGAGGGAAGGTTAGGCATGAGATTAGCAACTTCAACCCGTAAAAAAATAACACCACTGCTACTGAAACTTCAAAGCTCAAGCTTGAAACCTTATGATCCAATCGAAACACAAAGAGATTAAATTTTCGAAAACATACCAATCTAGCGGCAACTGACTACTTACATCGTATTCAGTAGCTGAACGATTACAAACAAAAATCAACAACGACACAGGTAGAGAATTAACTAATTACATCAGTATAGTGCCGTTTTCTGCTTCACTGAGAGTTGCATTCAAAGCTTCATCTGCTTAACTGAGAAGTCCCAGGAGAGTTGGAAGATATCATTCCCTTTCCATAGGGGATGCAAAACTTATTACATAATCGTGATTATTTGCCATTCCACGAACCATATGGACGTCCTATGCTTAGAAGTAACCACCATCAATGCGTAAACATGTCAATTGTCCTAAACACCTTACAGACAGGACCATAATGAAGTAACCTATGATCACTTTGGTTGCACATATCTTAGGTAATATAAGTCTGATAGAACAGAAAAAGTGAATTTATTTGCTAGGCTCAGAAAATTATTTAGAAAAAAAAACAAAAGCATTAAATAATCATAACAAACCATTTAGCTTTTCAGCGACATTGGTCCATTTAGTCTGCAGCTGTTCAATCGACATATCTGAAGTGATTTCCGAGATAATGGTTGAAACAGAATGACTCTTCTTATGACTTTTAGATGATGTTGACTCTTTCCCCGTAGATTTATTTTGTTGTTTACTATTTCGACTTTTATACCAACCATTCCAATGCTGAGAACCAGGTTGACCGAATCTAGCCACACCACTAGACCAAAACAACTCCATTTCAAGCATACGCTGATCAAATGAAATTTGTTCAAGTTCTGTAGGCCGGAAACAATTGAATTCAATAACAGCTTGCCAAACTGCTAGAGCACGTTCTGCATGACCTGCTTGAGCTAACCAGTGACAATAATCAGCTAGGAAATCTGATATGCAGCGATAAATAAGAAAGGAATAACTTATTAAGTACTTTAGGCATATATATATGTATATATATATATATATATATAAAAGAGATACCTGTTTAAAAACTCGATATAATAGAAGTAGTCCGATTTTTCAACTACATTTCAGTTTAAAAGCCGCTGCAGACTGTTTATTGGTATGTTTTTAATGCTGTTGTACTATCTAAGGCCATCAAATGCTTGTAGTGATTGCAAATCCTAGTTAGTTTGCTTAATAACAACTGTTACTTATTGACACAACAAACGAGTGACTTTGAACAAAGAAAGAAGAAACATTGGCGCAGAATAATCTGGATCCATTTTACTTCGTTGGTTCTCATCATCTGCGTACAACCTGAATTTTTTTAATTAAAAATAAAAAGTGTACAATTTTAACAAACCTTTGTCCATTAGCAAGCATAGTGTCAGAGCGTCATAGTAAAATAAGGCACTGAGATTTACAGGGTGTCTAAAGTGTCACGACATATATATATATCTTGGTAGAGAGAGGTTTCTTGAAAAAATTAGTTAACAGTTGTGTTGTTAAGGTGGTAACAAAAGACAATTAGCAATAGTTACGTAATTAGGTAAGAGAAGACCAAAATTTCGGTGCACACCGAGTAGATGTGCTGGAATCATTCAAAATAATTAACAGACAAAGTACCTCAAGTCTTCTCAGGTTTGCTGAAGTTATAGCAATAAAACGATTGAAACCTGACTTATGTGTCCAAAAAGAATCCGTTGTTGGACTTCAATTACCCTGATAACCCACATCTTAGTAACTCTTTGTTTTCTAATTTTGCTAACTTAGCCTTTCACTCCACCCACCCCCCTCTTTATGTTTCACTTGACTCTCTTAAGAGATAATTTTTCTTGATCTTCTGAGTTCTGCTCACTGTATTACATCATCAACTTCTCATCTGACCTCATGTGCACCGTAATTTTAAAAATTTTGATTTTCTCTTATCTAATTACGTAACTATTGCTAATTGTCTTTTGTTACCACCTTAACAACACAACTGTTAACTAATTTTTTCAAGAAACCTCTCTCTACCAAGATATATATATATGTCGTGACACTTTAGACACCCTGTAAATCTCAGTGCCTTATTTTACTATGACGCTCTGACACTATGCTTGCTAATGGACAAAGGTTTGTTAAAATTGTACACTTTTTATTTTTAATTAAAAAAATTCAGGTTGTACGCAGATGATGAGAATCAACGAAGTAAAATGGATCCAGATTATTCTGCGCCAATGTTTCTTCTTTCTCTGTTCAAATTTATAAAAGGGAATCGTTGTATGAAACGAGTGACTGATGAATCAACATAGAACTTCGAATATAACTGCATCATTTTAAGTTGTTATACCTCAAAGAAGCAAAAAAACACAGTAATAACAGAGATGTAATGATACGGCGATTCACAAATATGTGTGTGACGAAGAAAACCACAAGTGGAAATTTCAAGAATCGGAAAAATGGCACAAAATGAATATATCTGCGTCATTTTGACAGGTTTTGGAGTTTTAGGGAAAAGTTATTTGTACTATTTACCCACATCATGTTCACTCAAATGATGGAGGTGGTTCATGCAAGTTGCAGCTAAGTGACGTTTGTTTCTAGTATTTTGAAGACAACTGGTCATCATGTGAGAACTTCTTACACATCACATTGTGGGAAGACCAGTCAATACATGACTTCTTGAACCTCCGTAGATAAGGTGAGTTGCAACTGTTTTTCTCACTTGCTGAAAGTTAAATGATGCATCACATAGGCTTCGAAAATTCCGTAGGAACTTTCATATAATGAAAGCTCCCGTTTGATACTGGCTTTATGAAAACATTTGCTATCACTGTCTCCATATTAGACAATTGAGACCATGGATCATAAATGCATGTATACAATAATGAACCCTATATAACACTTCGCGTTGGTGGCACAGCGGTAGAGTGCTTGCCAACCACCCATGTGGTCCGGGATTCGATCCCCAGTTGACGCACTCCTTTACCCCGCTAAGCCAGTAAAAAGACTGGTAAATAGGGAAGGTTGGACGTGAGGCTAGCAAACCCATCCAGTAAAAATAAATACCACTGCTACCAAAGCCCTATGTTCCACTGGGTCGCCTGTTCTCACCACTAATGTATTCTGGGTATTCTATTTGTTTCTGAAGCCATTTCGGAATATGCTCTGAGGCCCCTCTACTGCGAAACATATTATAGAGACAGGACCTAAAGTTGATGTTTACATGTATTTTAAACCTATTCTAAGAAAATGTGTTTGCGGCATATCCTGAAGTTTGTGGAAGCCCTAGCTGGCAATTAAGAAGTTTAAACCACATTTATGCGTTCAAAAACAATTCATCGCCACACTAAACCTTCCTTGGTAAACTTTGTTTTGATACCAGGGTAGATGTACTATTACCTCTGTTATTTGGTTTAGTGATCTTCATTGTTATTTTGACCTTCAATATGTCCTTTTAACTTGACCTAAATTTATTTACTCACCTCTCAACTCTTTATTAATTTCACATATATACTCCTATGACAAGTCTGTGTGTGATCCGATTGTTCGAAATGTGTTGCGCAAATTCAGACAAATTACGTCTTCGTATTGCTTTGTCTAAATTCATAAAGGGGACTAACTGTTTTAAACATACTACATTATTTCACCTGAAAACGCTACTTGATTCCATCCACAGAGATGTTATAACATTATCTAGTTGCAAAGGGTGTGTCAAAAATAAAGTGATACTGATTAGGACACTGAACTAGAACTCATAGTCTAGTGTAAGATCGTATGGCAAATTATCATTCGAAGAGATGAAAATCAGAGGTATCCGTTTTATTTACCCAGTATCAATTATTTTGCTCGACTTTATTATAGATGTACTTTCAAGAACCGACTTAGTGACAAGATGAACTACGTTGTTTTAGAAGCACAAATGAACGAGAATTTTTAGGGATATCTGAGTCAGGAAAGAGATCGCTTTTTGGTTACAGGATTTCATCATGAGCTGACGTCGGTTAGAGGGCTATTGGAAATCCTGGGAGTATTGGACAGCTGTTTCGTCCTAGTTCGGGATTCTACATCGGTACGCACCCACTGGGGTTCGAACCCAGACCTTCTATTTACAAAGCGAGCTCGTAGACCCCTATTTTTGTAACTTCACTTCGAAATTAAACAGCTGTTTTGGAGTTTATATTTGCAGTGTTCATTGCCAACAAGTCAGGCATTATAATTAGTTATTAACAGAGGTAAATCAAAGTGTATGAGAAATAGCAATGCATGGAACACAACGAATAGTCTTTTAAGTGATGATAAAAAATGAGGCCTTCTAAGTGCCAAAAACAAAAGTGTGTCCGCAATGACTTCCTACCTAGAGGTACAGAGTAATGTGGAAATTCGCATTACTCCTAGCCAAACCGTTACTGACGAAACGTCGGCAAGGGTATGTGAACATCCCTTATAATGCGTCAACTTGCCTTATATTTAGCACAAAAGTGAAGGATACCAACCCATCAAAGAAAGTGTATACAAAAGTCGAAGTGAATAACTGTGTCATACTCTTCACTGCATAACAACCTCTTTATATTAATGATAACGATACAGTAGGGTGTCAGAAAATCTGTGATAGTTAACGGAAGTTAAGCTTTTAAAATTTCGTCGACTAGCTGAATAAAAGGGTAAACACAAACCAAACTAATGATCAAGAAATCGTCAATCTTATCGAAAAATAATTCACAAAAAATTAAAATACAAACAGGCATCACAAAAACAAGGATTACCGATTGTTCGCTCCACAGTATCTGGTTGAGGTCGATGCGATAAAATTCTTCCAGATATTATGCCGGAAAGCGTTGACAGGCCTCTTTTGTATATACTATCGATACGTGAAAATATTCCATTTCCAACACCTTGATTTACAGTGATTAGTGATGAGTGTCGACCCATAAGATGTGCAACATATCCACGCCACATTGGAACAAGTTGAGGATAAGTGAATACACACTGAGCCCAATCGCGATTAATTTGATCAGCCTGTACAACATCCTTACTGGATGTAGATTCCAACGCCCCGTGTGCTTCAAGCTCAGCCACCAATTCATTCAGCCTCATTATAAACAATTTCAAGATTAAATTACCGGGATTAGCTGTCAGTGCTCTATCAGCCATTGATAACTGCTTCTTAAGTATAATCAGTCTGTCACTCTTTGAATGCTTGAAATCGATACACGTCTGTTTCTGGTCAACATCACTACTTGCAATGTGCAGAAAAGACGCCCCCTTATCCTGTAAGTCAATAAGATCCAACCATGAAATTATGTCACCGGGTCTATCGTAAACTCGACGATTAAGTTCTTCGCAAAGATTTAACATTTCACAGTTTTTCACCTCTTCAACAGGTTTACGCTGGATAGTATTTTGATCAACTAATGGAATTAAATCTGTTGCAACATCATTAATTGATTCACAGGCTTTTACAGGAACAGGAGGATTTCGAATAACTGCTTTACTTGACTTACTGAAATACCGTGACTTGCTAATAACTCCACGTTTAGATTTCACTTCAGAGCCCACAAGATCACGTAAGCATAAATCTTTAAACCCTAATATTTTCGTTTTGATCTTCTGATTGTATCGTGATACATGTTTTTCATAGACACATCCGTGTTTATAAATCTCTTTATTGCCAGATTTATCAATTCTGTAAGCGTCTTTAATATTTAGCCCAGGAATATCTTCTAGAAATACAGCGGTTGACGTGACTTTTGGTTTCTTCTTGACTACCTCATCTTTTTTGTAGGAATAAGAACGTTTACTAGTTGTCTTCAAATCTTGTACTTCAATATTAATATTTCCTAAATTTACAAGTAATAATTTTATAGATATATATTTTGAACCGCTTACCATGAACGCGATGACTAGATGAACTTTTTTCAGCATAAGTTGAACTCTTTAGCCAACTTTCGTCTGAATTAAAAAATGAAGTAAAAAGTGATTTTCAAAAAATTACCGTCACGAAAATGATCACTGCTCTTTGATCTGTCTTCGAGATGTGATGCACATGGAAACATACTGACTTGGATTTTATAAGACAGATTCAATTTAGAGACTCTAAATGTGTGTGCGTGTGTGTGTACGGGGACTTACAACGCTAAGAAAAGTCATGACATGCAGATCTGAAAGAGAAGAAAACAATGATAGTGAGGAGAAGTTACAAAATGCACTAAAAACAAACTGGTGACTCATGTACAGCTTAGAAATATTCTTACTTCAGGAAAATTTGCATTATTTTTCAAATCTTGTTCCAATAGGCATAACATTGGAAACGATTCATTACACAGTGAAGTAGTATAAATGTAGAGTAGCTTCAGTGGCACTGGCACAAAATGATCATATTTTATGGTATGCAAATGGGAAATGGCCAAGTTAAACTTTAAGCACCAATAAGCACCAATGGAGTGCGACCGCGCCAATGGCCTTGAAACGCTCAGTGAAAAGTTGTAAATAATATCGTAATCATGAATGAAACATGCCTTATGAAGTGTTTATTATTGTTATCAAATGGGATATCTGGCGAGTTTCAGCTTAGATTTTGGGAAGATTACATTAAGGTTTAGGCTGAGGACAGGTTAGGGTTCGGTTAACCTATTAAGGGTGACATTTGGAGGTTGGCTTGAGTTAGATTAAGGAAAGATTAGGGTAATTGTTAGGGTTAGAAGACCTAGATAATTACATGCATGGAATGTGGTTAAATTACTGTGTTGACACTCCAGTCCAGTAATGAAAGGTATTTTGGTCACATGTCAGGGAAAGGTATCCTATGCAACAGTTGCGTGCTTTTCAATTCATTATTTTCTTGAATATATGTATTTTATACACAAAAATTGTCTTTATCATGTGGTTGGTGCGTTCATGGTCATTTTTTCCATTGGTACTTACTGGTTTGTCACCAGTGAAAAGCGATTACATAAGCATAAACCATAATATACATCAAATTACTTCGTATCTAGCAGTGTTAAGGATCTATTAGCGGGTTGGTGGTTCAATAGTAGGAATGCTCACCAGTTAGACAGGTAGTATGAGGTTCGATTTCAAGTCGACGCACTCCCCACTTAGCCGTTAGTAAGTCCGGAGAAGTAGTGAGGTTCAGTGTGATTCTAGTGGCCCTAGTCCGTAAAAGTAACACCTTTACTGAAACTGAAAGGCAGAGGTCCTATGTTTCACTCAGAAAGCAAACGAATAAAGGAAAGCAATATCAACAACAATATTTGTTGTTCAATGCTTAAGAAATCAGGACTTAATTTTTTTAACTTATGTATCTATACAGTATAGTTTATTTTCATGAAGCATAATATATGCATATTTAAGAACAAATTAGTTCAGCGAAGAGTCTCTTTTCGGCGAATTCATTCACTTAGCTGTACAGTCGCAAAAATATACAATTAATTTTGTGTGTGTGTGTGTACATTAGGTTTGTCAAAATCAAAATAACAGTTAGTGTGGGTTGTTGATTACATCATCAAAATAATAAAGAAATTAAAATGTGTGACTAATAATCAAAGTTGTAACTAAGTGGGGTGAAGATTGGTAAGATGTGAGTAGGGTTACGTAATATAGACATGTTTAGAAAGATTAGATGTTAGTGAAGGAGTATGGAGACAATTATGAAAATAAACTAGATAATAAGTAAAAAGATTGGGTTAGTTACTAAAAAATTATTATACGAAAATTGCAAAAAAATTTGATAACAAAATGTTGATGACAGATAAACTTGAAATTAAACCCACAGTAGTAGGAAGAGGTGGAGAAGTTTTTTCTGTGTGCATAAATCAGGCTTTTCTATCCAAATCGCTAAGGCTTCGGCAATACAAAGTATACGGAAGCTTGTCGATTTTGGAAGGCATCTTTTGACTTTATAGATAACTTTGAACGACTTCTCCTTGCAAATCGAATGACCAGTGTTGAGTATGTGCTCAATAATGGCGCTCCTTATTGTTCCGTTGTTACCTTTCCGTAGCCAAGCGGGATAGTGTTCTTGAACTCTTTTAGATAAAACACGCATCGAACGACCTATATACCTCGCTCCGCAAGAGCAGGTGAATTGGTAGATACACATGGAAGTGGTCAAATGTGATAGTTTATCTTTAGAGTAGTTGAAGAACAATGGCCGGGAGGAAAATGTCAGTCGTAGTGTGGCAGCGAAGAATGTCCTTCTGAGAGCAGTAGATATCCTCTTCTTCAAGGTGTCAGCCAGAAGGTCACCTTTGAAGGGTACATTCATGTAGACCATCTTCTTCTGCACTGTAATGGGTTGTTCTTTATAAGTCTTAGGCTTAATATGCTTGTCTATAAAACGGGGTGGGTAGCTATTCTCGAGCAGTGTCTTCCCTAAGAGGGCGATCTCTTCCTCTATTGATTTAGGACTGCAGATTTTTCGGATTCTAGTCGCCAGAGATATTATCAAGTTTCGCTTGCGACTAATTGGTACCCAGCTGTAGAAGTTTGTCAACTGACCGTTCCATGTAGGTTTTCTGTGTACTGATCTGTTCAAAGTACCATCGGTCTTCTTACTTAAACGTACGTTCAGAAAGGAGATTGTCTCTTTGGTTTCTACTTCGATTGTAAATTTGATGGTGGGGTGGCAACTATTGAAAACTTGAAGAACAATATTTTGATCACAATTGTTATCGCAGATGACGAAAGTATCATCAACATACCTTTTGTATAAGAAGAATTTGTCGATGGTTGCTTTTAGCGGACCGTTTTCCAAACTTGCCATGAAAATATCAGCCAGCAACGGACCCAAAGGTGATCCCATCGCCACGCCATCTTGTTGTCTATAGAAGTTCCCATTGAATGTGAACTGGACATTTAGGGTACATCTGAGTAGGAGTTCTTTTAGCTTGGTGGTAGGTATTCCAATATTCAGGTTGTTTTCTTCTAAGTATTTGCATAGAAAACAAATCGTCTCAGTGATAGGGACGTTTGTAAAGAGACTCGACGTCGAGTGAAATCATACGTTTGTCTCCCACTTTAACATCTTTGATACAATCGATGAATTCAAAAGTATCTCGAAGAGAATGTTTTGAAATTCGTTCTCTAACAGGTTGTAGGAGTTCTGCTAGCCATTTTACTATTGGATGATACGGAGACCCCGACATGTCCAAATTAGGGCGAGGTGGAAGACTCTGTTTATGAGTTTTTGGCAATCCGTATAGTCGGGGTATTATTTAACCTGTAGGTCGAATGCTCTCGAAGACATTTTCAGAGATAACTTGATCAGTTTTTAGCTTTCTCAAGATCTCAGTTAGCTGTAATCAACAACCCACACTAACTGTTATTTTGATTTTGATTTTGACAAACCTAATGTACACACACACACAAAATTAATTGTATATATTTGTGACTGTACAGCTAAGCGAATGAATTCGCCGAAAAGAGACTCTTCGCTGAACTAATTTGTTCTTATTTTAATCTCTTAATGGGTATTTTTCGCGAATATGCATATTTATAAATTTATACGTGGAGTTCGGAGGACAGTTTAAAGTTTGATAGATGCAAGTTTGAAACCTTAGGAAATTAGCCCAGATCAACTATCAACGAACATCTATAAGTGTCAAACAATGCATAGCATTATACTTGCTTACTAACTAGTTTATCATATATGAAGTTCTTAAACTGTTGCATACATATGAATGTAAAAATAGGTGAAGTCAACTATCAATAGTAAAATTCTTGTGTCATTTAATGAAGAAGAAGAATCTGATACTGCCCACCTTCCAATAAATACAAAGGTCATAATTTCATAAGCACTTTGAACTGTGACTTACAAATTCTTGTAGTGAGGAAGAGAAGGTCGCCAAAAATTCAAGTAAGGTTAATCCACACAAAAATATCAATAGACACAGACCAATGATTGATCAGACAGCTTAAATTATCAATAAATGAATATATCTAATGCATACTCCGGTTTGAACGTGAAAAAGACAATTATGGTAAGATCTACACATAAACAGTGACGTATACAGGAAATGTTAGCAAAACAAAAGGATAGTTTAGATTCTGGAAAAATACCCTACTTACGCTACAGACAACAAGTTGTATTATATCCACCATAACACTTTATCAACTATGCTGCTAAACAACCAATTCCAAGTCCATGCACCTGGCGGTGAGCCACACCTGTTGTGTAGGGGGTGGTAATCCCATCTTCTTGCTCAAACCTTAATAGATGAAGTGAAGTTCGAATCCGTGACCCATCGGTTGGACGTCGAGGGCGTGAAAACATGGGTCAGAAACTCACACAACGCCTTCTACCACTATGTCCATCAGAAGTATTTGACTACCGTTTACTTTACACCAACCTGGATTCCATGGGACTGCATATGAACAAAGCAGAGGATAGACTTAGTCTCAGAGAAGACAGGTCATTCAACACATTTGTCACATGCTATCTACTTAGGTGAACGCGACGTTCATAAAAGTTACTGTTTTACTCTCGTTATTTGTTGCATGATTATTCCCTCACGAATAGCATTACATGTGATTTTTCCTCTCTAAATGGAAAATGCCTGTTTTGTGAATTATCTGCTTGGGAAACCTGATCTTCCTAGCCGGTGAATTAAATCCAACCATTACTTCTATACTGAATCGCTGTGTGGTAAGTCCAGTTGTCCCGAACTACTGCCAAAGCTTCAGGTACCACATCTGTAGCAGCATCTTCCTCACCCGATCAGATAAACAAGACTTGTTGGTCTACCACACGATTGCTTTGAGGCAGAAGAGCCTAGAAGTTTTAGGTAAAGTCGAAGACTTTTTATTTCTCTTATCTTATACTTCATCAACGTTTTTGTTCTTGCTTTATTGGGCAGGTACAGTTGCTATCTTTTATTCATATTTAAGTATAATTTATAATAATTGGTAATGTGGCTGTTGAAACTGGCCTTAACAAGAGCACCAAGACACCACTATATTCTGTTGTGACTAGGGCTTCAGCCACAGGAGGAAATAACCAGGGGCTATCAACTCCATCTCGCATACCGGTTCGTAAGACCCATGTACATATCCTCTGCTCTGATAGTATGCCTACGTTGCCACAGTCCAGCACTGAAACTGCACAGGCAAAACCAAGTGGACACGATACTGCACCCGTATCCATAGGAAGCCAGTGTGTTACACACATCTGAGATGACAGCCATCTCCATTACTGTATATCATACATGTGTTTTTCACAAGCAGTACCAGTTTCCAGCTCCTGAATAGAGTGTATAACCATGGGAGGGGGCATCAGTTCCGGTGATGCCCTCGCTATTGGCATGTAAGCTTATGGCCTATCATGGCTTATTTTTATGTTGGAACTCCTTTCGATAGCTGGTATTTATGCCAGTAATATCTTTTCAGCCTCTTCAGCATAGCCTAGTGTCACCCTTTGGCAGTAGTTCAGGACAGCTGGACTTACCACATAGGGCTTCAGTGTGGGAGTAATGGTTGGATTTAATTCACCGGCTAGGAATATCAGGTTTCCCAAGCAGATAATTCACAAAGAAGGTATTTTCCGGTTAGAGAGGAACCATGGATACAAAAAATCTAGGTGGTTGTATATCATATTATATCATATAGGAAACCATTTATGATTATTATACTTTTTAAATGCACCCAGAATCCTTCAGTAGAATTTGTATGAGTTCCACTTGTGGGATCAACTAATTCAGGAGTATGATTGACTTTATGAATATAGTATAATGATGACAGTGCTTCGGAGGACTAGTAGTTGTAGTTTTGGTCTTAAAACGCCTAAGTGAAACTTGCAAAGAAAATTATGAATACTACCCATGTGTTAATGTCTCGCCGTATTATTGGTTGATTCAAGGTCATTTTATTTTGTTGTCTGTTCTTTACTGCTGCCGAATACTGTATCAAGCCTTTCCTAGTAGAAAATGGGAAGCG